GGCTGTACTATTTTGGCCAAAGGCTGTTGCAAGGATTCCAGGGCAAAGAGCAGGTACAATGGGGCCTTCAGAACATGTTTTGAAATTAGAGCAAGAGGCTGGGCACAAGGTACACAAAACCTCAGAAGTGGTTTTCTAAGACGAGCTGGAAGAATGTATCATTGCATTCACTTGATCACTGCAGCTAAAACAGCTTTGGAGTAGACAGTGCAGAGAGAGAGATGGAATGTTCCCACCATCTCTCTGTAGGACAGTAACTGGCCTCCTGCCTCTGGAACCCATCTGTACACCCGTGAGATTAACTCCTAAGAAAATTCTGGCTGGGATCCAGACAGAGAGCAAAATAAAAGCAAACAGGAAGGGACCTCCAGCTGAGGGACTGTTGAAATCAGGGGTCTGAGGCTACCTGCTTCCATCACAGAAGTGAGGAGTCCAGAAGCTGGCTGCAGACCAGCCATGGCTCAGGAGAGGCAGACTGGCCTCTCCTCCTCCTCATTGGCCCCTTGAAAATCCCCTTTCCAGAAGGAATCTGTTAAGGAGTGGTAAGCCCAGAGCTCAAAAGGGGTGACAGAATGACGGTGGCATCGAGTCCTGTCTCCCTGTGAAGACTGGAGGCCAGTGTTGTCCTGGGGGAAACACTGGGATCAGCTAGAAGGGACCCTCTTTCCAATCTCCTAACTGCTTTGCAGTGTTGGGCTCACCTTCCCCCCTCTCTGGGACTCAGGTTCCCCCACCTGCCAAGTCCAGGGCATGGGGTGGAGATGCCCTGCAAGGGGCCTTTCACCTGTGACACAGGTGGTTCTGGGGCATCTAGGATGTGGCCTGTGGTAAGAAATGAGTGGCCATGTGGCACAGAAGATGAAATGCACAAGATATTTATGCAAGAAACTGGCAAACCATGTCACCTGAGTTTCCAGGGCCACAGGAAGAAGCAATTTCCGCTTTCTAAAAAACTACGATGAGTGAAAAAGACTTTACAGTGGAGAGATCTAACAAACATGCCTTGGCCAGGTGACCATGGTCAGGATCAATAGTGATGTCACATCAACAGTGTGCACCCTGGATGTGACACAGTGAGAAGGACACCACCTCTGGGGTCTTCCTCCCAAAACCCATAACGGCAACCTAATCATGAGAAACATCAGACAAATCCCAATAGAGGGCAGCCTGCAATACACTGAGCTGTCCCCCTGCAAACTGTCCAGGTCACCGAAAACAAGGACAGTCTGAGGACCTTATAGACAAGAGGAGCCCAGAACACAAGGAGGCTAAAGGCAGTGTGGACCCCTGGACAGGACCCTAGGCAGAAGGAGGACATTAAACAAACACTAAGAAACTCTGAACAACGTGTGGGCTATAAGAGTAACATATCAGTACTTGTCCATTCATTGTAACACGTGTGACACTGCGAGACGGTATTGTATAGAAAACAGTGGGGGATGATATGGGAATGATCTTCACCATTTTCCTATAAATCTAAACCTAATCTAAAAAATAAAGTTTATTTTAAAAAGAGTTAAGAGGAGTGAAGTTTCTGCAAATATTTATACAAACACATCCCAAGAGAGAGCTGGGTGAATGCAAAGTGGACACTTCATTTACACTAAGATTCTACACATTTCCTTGGGACTCTGGTGAATTTCAGTTTCTTACGCAGCATATACGAGTTCGGTTTGGAAATTGCTTCACTGAACTCTGAGAATGACAGAAGGGAGAGCAAGCGTCTATGGCAAAGGTGATGAGAATGGCCTGGAAGTGGGGCTGGGCAGGAGACTGTGCCTGTGAGGGAGCCATACACAGTTTTCACTGAGAGCTGAGAAGTGATGTGGGTGGAAAGCGACGTGGAAAATGCCCCTAAGCAAGGCAGGCTGGGAAGGCAGTGTTCACAGGTAGGACGCCTGGCTCCATTCCTGCCTCTAAATGGCCCCAACTCAATGTGCGCTCTTGGTCAAGTCCCCAGGCCTCAGCTTTCTTATCTGTAACATGAGTGTGTTTGGGGGTGGGGCATAGACTGGCTCGGGTCAGCTCTCACAGGTCACCATTTGTGCCAGGCTTCAGGCTGAGCAATCTCACAGCCATCCTTCATGGATTTCATTTCCATCCCCCGTTTTCAGATTAGGAGAACCAAGGCCCACAGAGGCCCCATCAGTGCCCAGAGCGACCAGACCGTCTGCAGCTCAAGCTCCAGGTGGAAGTGTCTGAGCTGGCTGTGCACTCTGTTTCTAAAGCCTATTCTTACCCATCCTGGTGCTATTCTCCCAAAAGGTCTGGCCACTCCTGACATCCCCTGAGCCACACTCTCATGGCCTTAAGGGTATTTGTTGCCCAGTCAAGTCTCAAACCTGGTCTTAAAATACAGCTAAAAATGAGGCATCTGTTTGCTCGGCCTTTGGAGTGGGCACCCCCAAGCTTTGGGAGAGCAGCATCCTGGCTGCTCTGACCAGCTCCTCCCAGCTTCCTGGTGATCCCCAGGATTCCAGCCATCTGGCCCTTTTTGCTGTCTTAACTAAGGTGACAGGCTTCAGATGTTTTTTAAATTAAAGTGGTTTGTTTCTGTTCATCTCTTTTCCAGATGTCACTACCTAGAGGGAATCTGTCTTTATTTACTGGCTCTTTCCTGTGCAGAATCTCTCTCCGGCCGAGAACCCCTGGGAAGGAGGCTGCATGTGGGGGTGACTTGAACCAGGTCCCCTGGAGCTCAGATGGGGTCACAGTGGAGACTGAGGAGGTGGGTTGCCGCCAGGGTTTGCTCTCAGCCATGTGGCACATGTGCTGTTACTGTGAATCGAGTGGGAGGGTCAGCTTGCTCTCAGCAGGACTGGGAGGCTGTGAATTTAAGAGGGTGGATGGGCCGCTGTGTTTGTGTCTGTCTCTGATGTGGCCAGCTGTGTGAGGACAGCATTCGCTTTCCTATTAGACCAGGGATGGGGAAACTTTTTTCTGCCAAGAGCCAGTTGGATATTTATAACATCATTCCTGTGCCATACAAAACTATCAACTTAAAATTTAGCTATGAAGAAAGCTCCTAGATTTATTGAATTTCAAGTCCTGCCTGCGGTTGCCTTGGCAGGGCCGGATGTTCCCCACGCCTGTATTAGACTGACAGCTGCCTTACCAAGCTCTAGCCAGGTCCTGCATGACACCCAGGACAGTCCTGCTTCCCAGTCTCCTGCTTATCCCTGTGCCCCAAACCCAGGCCTCCCTCCCTGGGTAGCAGCTACAGCCTCTCCACCCAGGGGCCCCACTCATGGCAGCTCCTCTGGACACCAGTCTACCCCTGCCGCCCATGCCCCCAGCACGCAGAGCTCCTCCATGTCCCTGCTAAAGCAGGCATAGTGCCAGACTGGCACCATCTATTTACGGGCCTGCCAACTCCCTGAGTCACCCAGAGCCACAGCAGGAGTCAAATCCTGCCCACGACGCAGTCCCCAGTGCCCAGTAGAGGCTGGGCCCAGAGTGGGCACTCAATGCTGCTGGTTGCCCAGATGCATGGGTGAGAATGCAGCTGGTGCCCACCTCCTAGGGGCTGGGACACTTGTCTTCCCAGCCTAGTACCCTGCACAAACAGCCACTCCCAGGAACCCCTGGACAAGGTGCTCCTGAGAGCTGTGTCCCTGATGTCCCCTCTCAGCACCTGTAAGCATCTTGTGCTGAAATGAAAGGCCACGGTGTTCCTGAAGTGGACAAAAAGATTTGGTTCCGTGACAGACATTCCGAGGGCACAATCTGTAGGGAGACTGCGTATGTGCTCCTTTGGGGACAGTCCACGGATTTCCCACCCACTCCAGCTCCTTCTCCAGCTGTGAGGGGCTGGGGTTGAGGAGCCAGGGGCCAACAGTGCGGGTGCTCGGCTGGGGTTGGGGCTGGGGGGCCAGGCCTGCCCTTGGGAGCAGCTGCCCAGGGGGGCAGGGAACCACAGTGCCTGTGGAGGCCGACAGTGAGGTTCCCCTTCCTTGCTGGCTTGTCCCCTCGGTGCGCTCCCACCCTGCACACCTGGTACCAAATGTCCTGTACAGGGGGCTGTTTCTAAAGAGCAGTGCAGACTTGCTGCAAACCCGCACCTGCTGAACACCGTCGTCCCCTCCCCTAAACTCCTACAGAAGGAGCTACCTGCACAATCACATCCTACAGATTAAGGAAATGGGG